GTAGATTTCGCATTCCGCGTCACTGTCGACAAGCCGCACGCAGGTTCGAGGAACAACTGGGACTAACATAGACACTACGACCGTTGCATTGAAACGTGTTGGTTGCAACCCAGCTCCGCTGGCTACAGGGTAATACTTTCGAGCATGTGCCTCTGCTCTGCGGCGACTGAAGGCGTTGCGGCCTCTTCCAAAGTGGACGATGGAACGCATGTTTTGCATGCGGATGAAAAAGTCACCATCGCTGCGGCGCCTGGTGCGAGCCGAGCCGTCGACTTGGAAACGTATGTCTGGAACGCGTATGTGTGCGAACGCCAATGGTTTTGCGTATGTTCCAAAACTGCCCAGCACGGGCTTCCCCAGTAGATAAAACCACACCGCACAAGACGCCCATTTTTACCACACCGCACAAGACGCCCATTTACCAATTGGGGCAAGTCTTTGAAAGGTTCGGAGACGTGTGTTGGAAAGCCACTAATCTGGAACTCTGGACCGTTCGCTGCCTCATCGTGGTGCCGCTCGGTGTGTAAACGCGCCTCTCTTCGATTGTATCGGCGCCTCTATCGTTGCACGTCTGCTCTGGTCGAATTGGTCCGCTTTGTCAAGGCGACCTTGTAGATCCATTAGATACGGCTGCCACGCTGGGAACGATTTGCGCAAGTCCATGTGCATGGGGCATCGCAAGCAAAAATGCTCAGCGTGGCCACCAACCAGGACTTTGCAGTATGTGGAGCCGCTGGCAGACGGGCGAGAAAAAGGCGCCAAGCCAGACCAATCAGACCAGCCATATACACAAGCAAAAACCAGCCAGGCCAACGAGGGAAATCATGCGAACCACGCTAACTGGATCAAACAGACTGCCCACATGACATCAAATCACGATCTGGCCCCAACGTTACCACACACACATGTATGTGTCTACATATAGATGTTCATACATGTATACGTAACTGCGAACGGGAAACTAGCCATATATACATGTATATATGTATGTAAATATATACACATATATATATATACATATTACTAGAACCATCGCGCGCGCTTCGCGCGCGCTCAGGTTCTAGCCCAGGCCAGGGGTGCGCTTGAGGATCTTGGACAGCACTGTCAAGCACAGGCGCGTGACATAGTCGTGCCTCCTGAGGGCCTCTTGGAAACCTCTTGGGTCTTCGTGGGGGCATCTGAAGGGCTTCTGGGGGGCCCTCCATGCCTCCTCAATTGGCTGTTGCAGGCACATCTTGGGTGCTTCTCGGGGGGCATCTTGGGGCTTCTTGGGGTCCATTGGGGGCATCGTCAGGGTTCTCCGGGCAGTCGGAAAGTGATGTTCTGCAGCCTGAAGCAGACAATTGGCCGTCTTGGCTGCGTAGAGGCCCGGCTTGAGGCCACATTGGGGCAATCCGGAAGCCTCCCGGGGCCTCCTTGAAGCAATTTTGATTGGCCCCGTGTACGTCTCCTGTGAGCCTTTTGTGGCCTGGTGGGGGGCTTTGGTGGGCCTCGTCGAACCACTTGGGGACTCTTGGGGCCTCCTGTGGGCCTCTTAGGGCGAAAGGCTCTGCTGTTGGGTTCGCGTTCGCCTTCTTGGGGCTCTCTTGGGGCCCTCTTGGGGCCCTCTCGGGCCGTCTTGGGCACCTCGGGCACCGTCTTGGGGCCCTCGTGGGCCGTATTGGGGCCCTCTTGGAGGCCTCTGCGGTCTTGGGGGCCTCTTGGGCCGTCTTGGAGCGTCGGGAAGCCAAAAGGCTGGGAACTTTAAAATCCATCAAGAGCCGATGGGAAAACATTGCTTCTTGGAACCTCTTCGGCCTTCTGGGGAGCTTCTTGAGGGCCTCTTGGGTCCCAGTTGGGGGTCTCTGGGGCTTCCTGAGAGCCTCTCGGGGTGGAAGGCTCGGATTTTCGGTTCGTCTTACCCCTCTTGGGCCCCCCTTGGGGCCGAATTGGTGCCCTCTCGGGCTGTCTTGGGCCCTGTTGGAGGCCTCGTGGGCTATCTCGGATTGGCATTGGAGGCCTTTTGGGCCGTCTTGGAGCGTCAGGGCGCCAAAAGGCTGAAAACTCTAACATCAATCAAACACCTACGGCAAGACATGGATTTGTGCCTCTTGGGGCCTTCGTGGGAGGCCTCTTGGAAACGCTTCGGCCCCCTGGGGGGGCTTCTTGGGGCCTCTTGGAGCCTGTTAGGGCTTCTCGGGGCCTCCTGAAAGCCTCTCGGGATGGAAGACTCGGATTTTCGGGTCGTGCCAACCCTCCATCTTGGGGCCGTGTTGGGGCCCTCTCGCTCCGCCCTGGACGCCTCTGGCGCCGTCTTGGGACCCCCGTGGGCTGTCTTGAGACCGTCTTCGAGGCCTCTGTGGATGCCTTGGAGCGGAAATTGAAGCCCCTCGGGCCGCCGTGGGGCGTCAGGAAACTCAAAAGGCGAGAACTCGAAAATCAACCAAAAACCAAAGGAAAACAAATTAGTTGTGCCTCCTGGGGCTCCTTGGGAGCCATCTTGGAGACCTCTTGGGGCGTCTTGGAAGCCTCTTGGACAGTCAGGGACCAATTCTGGGGTGATTTCGGGCGGTCATTGGTCGTGTTCGTTGTCTGGAAACGCCATTTCTGGCAATCCAGGACCGTCTTCTGGCGACTTTACAAGGCCCCCAGCGCCACGGCAGGGCCCCTGGGCCTCCCGGCGCCGGGCCCCACCTCGTGCCCGCGGCAGGGCGTTCCTGGGCCGTCTCGGCGCCCTCGTGGGCCGTCTCGGCGCCCTCGTGGGGTGTCTGAAATCCATAAAAGATCGAAGGACAATCAATGATTTTGGCGTCCCTTTGAGCCGTGTTGGAAGCCTTGTGGGCCGTCTGGGGGCCATCTTGGGCGCGTTCGAAAGATATGTCCTCGTTTCGGGGCCTCCTGGGGGCCTCTTGCGGCCCTTTTCGTTTGTTTTGGGGCTTTCTTGGCCGTGTGGGGGCGGCCCTGGGCTGTCTCGGCGCCCTCTTGGAAGCCTGTTTGGGAGATTTCTGGGTGTCCTGGACTGCCTCCTTCAACGTCGGCGGCACTGACCGTAAGACTTCCTGGGAACATGATTTGTTGGGGTGTCGTTGGGCGCCTCCGGAGGCTTCAGAACCTGACGCGTTTCCGAGCGTGACGGCAGGTAACGCTGCTTGGGGCTCTCGTGTTTTTATCCTGGCGGGCGTTTAGGGAACATGGTTTGGGGAGAAGGCGGCAACCCGAGAATCATGTTCCCTGGAAGCTTTCCGGGAACATGATTTGTTCGGCTCTCCTAACAGGGGGGCCTCTGGGGGCTTACCGAGGGGCCCTTTTTGGCCTTATCGGCGAGCCTATTGGAAACATGGTTGGGGCGGTGGACGGAAGCCCAAGGAATCATGTTCCCGGAAAGCTCTGGGAAATACGATTTGCCGAAGTCTCTTGGGGGCCCGCAGGGGGCCTCCCTGGGGCCCCTTGGGAACTCATTGGGGCTTCCGGGGGGCCTCTTGGGAGCCTCACGGGGCTTCTTGGGAGCCTCTTGATGGCCTCCGGGGGCGTCCTAGGAGCCTCTCAGGCTGGAGACCTTGAAATGTCGCGCTCTTCGGGCCCTCTTGGGTCGCTCTTGGGGTTCTCTTGGGGCGCTCTCGGAGCCCTGTTGAATTATCTGGGGGGCCTCCTGGGCCGTCTCTGGTCTTTCTTGTGAGCCTCTTCGGCCGTCTTGGAGCGATCTGAACGGCCTCTGACGCCGTCCGGGACCGTGGGGAGGCGGAACATGCGATAGCGCAAAAATGCGGGGCCCTGCGGAGGGGCCTCTGGAGGCGCTCTTGGAGCGTTTTGGCGGCGTCGTCGGCCGTCCTGAGGCCATCTTCGGCGTGTCCGGGGCCTCTTGAGGCTGTCTTGGCAAGCTTGAGGGCCCTCTTGGCGTGTCGTGGCGCGTTTGGAGCGGACCTGGGCAGTCCCGGGAGCGCTGGGGGCTGTTGAATGCTAGGTGTTGTCTTGGAGGCGGAGGCTGTTGAGTGTAGGGTGGCGCGTGCAACGCGGAAGGCGGGCGAGCGGCCAGGCGGGCGGCGGGCGGGCGGGCGGCGGGCGGGCGGGCGGGTCGGGATTTGAATGGATTCCTTACGGGTGCTCTCTTGCAGCGGGAGCTGGTTGAGCACAGGGTGTTGCCTTGAAGACGGGGGCTGTTGACTACAGGGTGTTGTCTTGGAGACTGAAGCTGTTGAGTACAGAGTGGTGCGTGCTACGCGGACGGCGAACGGGCGGCGGGTGCCCTAGGTGGTGGGTCAGAGGCCTCATGGGTGTTGGTTTGGATCTCGTGGTTGGCCTGTCGGGAACGTCGTGAACGCAGTCACATGTGCGTGCTCTCGTTTTCCCATGCTGCGGATCGCCCTGCGGATTCCCACACGGGCATGGGCGGAGGCGGTGCCTGCGCCCGGGCATCTGCCCGAGCCGATGCAGGCACCGATGGCCCCCCAAGCCCAGACCCCTCCCGTGCCTTCTGAATTCGACAGGTCAGAGGCTTCACCACCAAGAAATGTAATTTACAGGGCGGTGGGTGGGGAGAAAACGTGGGTGACCGAGAGCACGGAGGTGAGCTCGAGGGCGGAGCTCGAGACCAAAATGGCCATGGGCACGCGAGCGCCATGTGACTCCGTGCATCCGCTCCGCTCCTGCACCCCTCCACATGTGCGTGCTCTCGTTTTCCCATGCTGCGGATCGCCCTGCGGATTCCCACACGGGCATGGGCGGAGGCCGTGCCTGCGCCCGGGCATCTGCCCGAGTCGATGCAGGCACCGATGGCCCCCCTATGCCGGAGTACCCTGCTCCGCGCAAGCGGCGGCACTACGTGCTAAAGCTGCCTTCGCCGCCGCTCTATCCCCAGGCATGCATTTCTCGCACATGAGCTTGTACGGCCTCTCAGCGGACTCGAGCCTCGTGTGGTCAGCGATGCCGAAAGCCCACCCGCAGGAGGTTCGCCACCCCCTGGGCGCAATGCGTGTGGATCCCTCCCGGACCCGGTGGACGACGCCGGTCTTGGGGTTCTCCACGAACTCGGGGCCTTCGACACAGAGGCGCCTGACCCCCTCCAGCTCTGCCGCGAAGGCTTCGCGCAGGGAGAGGACGGAGGCCTCGAGAGAGGAGACTTTGGTGGCGAAATGCTTGCACAGGCTGTCGGCTGTGTCGCGACGGGCCTCGCGAGCCGGACGCACTCCCCCTGCCGGCGCGGCGGTGCGTGCCCGCTTGGCAGGTCCCTGCTCGTCCTCCCTCTCCAGCCGCACGCGCCGGTGGACCTCGTCGAGTGGCAGGCCCGCCGCAGCCCGCGCAGCCCAACTGCCCGAGACAGCGAGCGGTGCCTCCCGGGTGTAGCGCAGGACCGCATCCGAGCTCGAGGGCTGTAAGGTTACCGATTTCGGCCACTTGAAGCGCTCTGGAGAGGCCGGAGCACTGGACCCAGGACCCCTGGAGGAGCCTCGGAAATTCGAAGGGCGACAAGAACATCGGCGGGAGGCGAGCCGAGAAGTCGAAGGGGCGAACGCGGTTCCGAGGGGCGACCGGGGCGGGGACGGCGTCGACGACGACGACGCCGACGACGGCGACACCGCCGACGTCGGAGAATTCTCTCTGGGATCCGAGGGCCTCTGCGCTGGCCCGGGGCGGGATGTGCCATCGCAGGAGGGCCACGGCGCGCATGGCGTCCAGGAGGCCGTTTTCTTGGACCGGCGGCAGCGGCGGTCCGAAAATCGGCTCGTCCGCACCGTCCGTTGTAAGGTTCCCCGGGGCTGTTTGGTAGCCTCGTGAAGCCTCGTTCGGGCCTCCTGGGTGCCTCTGGGGGGTCTCCTGGGGCCTCTTGTGTCCCCCTTTGGGGCCTCCCGGGGCCCTGTGGAGGCGGGAGGCTCGAATGTCCGGTTCGCGGTTCCCCTCTTGGAGCCCTCTTGGTGCCGTCTTGGGCCTCTCTTCGCCCGTCTTGGGCGCGTCTTGGGCCGTCTTGGGGCCCTCCAGAGCCGTCTTGAGGGCCTCTTGGAGGCCTCTTGGGCTGTCTTTGGGCGTCCGCGGGGGGCCTGTGAGCCGTCGTGGAGCGTCGGAAAGCTGAAAAGGCGGGAAAGGCAAAATGCATCCAAAACCGAAAATGAGCGATCTTGGCCTCTTGGGGCCCTCTGGGGGGGCGGCCTCTTGGAGGCCTCTTGGAGCGTCTTCGGGGCCACTTTGGCCGTCTTGGGCTTATCTTGAGATCTCCTGGGGCCTCTTGGGCCCGGCTCGAATTTCTGGTTTGCAGTTCCCCTCTTGGGGCCCTCTTGGGGCTGTCTTGGACCTCTCTTCGCACGTCTTGGGCGCGTCTTCGGCCGTCTTGGGGCCCTCCAGAGCCGTCTTGAGGCCCTCTTGGAGGCCTCTTGGGCTGTCTTGGGGCGTCTGCGGGAGGCCTGTGAGCCGTCGTGGAGCGTCGGAGAGCTGTAAAGGCGGGAGAGGCAAAATGTATCCCAAACCTTCGTAAAATGAACGATGTTGGCCTCTTGGGGCCCTCTGGGGGGGCCTCTTGGAGGCCTCTTGGAGCGTCTTCGGGGCCTCTTTGGCCGTCTCGGGTTTATCTTGGGGGTCTCAGGCCTCTTGGCCTTTGGGGCCTCCCGGGGCCCTGTGGAGGCGGGAGGCTCGAATTTCCGGTTCGCGGCTCCCCTCTTGGAGCCCTCTTGGGGCCGTCTTGGTCCTCTCTTCGCCCGTCTTGGGCGCGTCTGGGCCGTCTTGGGGCCCTCCAGAGCCGTCTTGAGGGCCTCTTGGAGGCCACTTGGGCTGTCTTGGGGCGTCTGCGGGAGGCCTGTGAGCCGTCGTGGAGCGTCGGAAAGCTGAAAGGGCGGGAAAGGCAAAATGTGTCCAAAACCTTCGTAACATGCACGATTTTGGCCTCTGGGGCTCTCTGGGGGGGCCTCTGGGAGGCCTCTTGAAGCGTCTTGGGAGCCTCTTTGGCCGTCTTGGGCTTATCTTGGGCATCTTGGGGCCTTCTTGGCGCCCTCATGGGCCTCTTGGAGCCTGCTGGGCCTGTCGCGGAGCGCTCTTGGGGCACTCTTGGGCCGGACAAGGGCGCTCCCGGAGGCCCGATCCCCCCATGGGGGGTTGCGGTCCTGGCCAGGGAGCCCGCTGCCCTGTAGCCCGGTATCTATCTATATATATATATATATATACATATCTATATATATGTAAAAATGTAAGGCCATCTACTTTATACGTACACTTTCACCGAGAGATCCCTATGCACGTACTTTGCGCATGGGTTCTTCTTGTAAGAAAAACAGATAGACATTCCACGGCATCGGCGTTGTGTTTTGTCGGTGACACGTGTCGCGCGGCCCGCTCGGTCCGTGGGTTCGGGGCAAGGTTGGCGCTCTGATTCCCTTCCTCGCCACCCTTATCTTACTTGGGCTGCCCTCCACTTCCCTCTTACCCTGATCTCCGCGCCATGTGCAAGGCTCCAGCAGAGCGTTAGCACATGGCCACAAACCCCCAAGACCCAAGAAGCTCCCAGAGCCAACGCGGGCCCAAACACCCGCCCCGTCGACGTCGACGCGGACGTCGACGTCGACACCGTCAATGTCGTCGTCGACGTCGTCGCCGTCGACGCCGTCGGCGCCGACGTCAACGTCGTCCTCGAAGTTGCCATCGACGCCGACGTCGGCGCCGACGTCGTGGACGTCGACCTCGACGTCGACTTCGACGACGTCGTCGTCTGACCGCAGCCCTGCACTGGGCCCAGAGGGGGCTGGCGGATCGGGCCTTGCGTAGGCGACCCCTTCGCTTACACTGGGCCAAATTGCAGGCTACCCCTGCGCCTGTAATTGCGAGCGCCCCAATCATCCTACTACCACTACTTCGTCCTCGAGACCCTCCCCCCCCTCCCTCCTCGAGCCCCTCCTCTTTCCCTCCTGAGCCTCCAATGCCGCCTCCGCTACCAAGCAAGCGGGCCCCTGCTCTCTCCTTCTCCTGCTCCTCCACCTTCTCCTCCTCTGCACTCCTCTTCTCCTCCGGGCTCCTCGGTCGCGGGGATGGCTCCCCGAACCTGGGCGGCATTCCTGGTCTTGGGATTTTTGGAGCCTCCTCCTCCTCCTCCTCGTTCTCCTCCTCCTCCTTTCCCTCCTCCTCTTCCTCTTCCTCCTCCTCCCTCCTCCTCCTCCTCCTCCTCCTCCTCCTCCGTTATCCGCCACAGTACTCTCGCCAGGAAGAACTGCAACACGTGGCACGTTTTCAACGCAGCCGCTTCAATCCCGAGCGGTCGACGCCCCATCTATACTCAAGGCGGAGCAATGCGTTCTGCAGCATACGTTTACTTGCAGATGTGGGATCGCATTTTTGGCCCATGCGTTTAAATTTGCCGAGGAAGTCTTCCTCCGGCAGCGTGCACATCCACATCGGGTTTAACCGGTGCTGGAGCAAGTCGCGCAGAGAGTGCCACCACACGTGGGCCTTCGGGCGCAGCCTCCACCGCCACTCTTTTCTAGCCGCGGCGTCGACGCACAGGGCCTGGGCGCTCTTCAGCACGACCCTCCCAAACTGATGCAGAGCGAGGGCGGCCTCCCCCGGGAGAACGCAGCCATGGCGACTGCAAATCGAAAAATAATGCGACAGCGATTGGAATACAGCAGTGCGAAGACGGCTCCCATGCGAGCCATCGCACAAGGCCGACAGATGCTCGGCAAGCCAATACACAATAATTTTCACACTGCACGCCTTGAAAGACGAGGCCAACTCGGGCTGGTCCTGGGAGCCCAGGGTCTGCTTGCCGAAGGACCCGACGGAGAACGGCGGCCCCTTTGCGGGCGCCCCTTCTACCCCCCGCTATGTGTGACACTGTAAATTACAAATCCTCCCTTCCTCTTCCGCCTCCTCCTATGCCTCCTGCTCGCTCTCCCTCTCTCTATCGCTAGTTCTCTCTCTCTCTCTCTCTCTCTCTCTCTCTCTCTCTCTCTGTATCCCTTTCCCCCTCTATCCCTATCCCTTGTCTTCCACCCTTTACCTTGCCCCCCCTCGCCCCCCCCTAGAAGGGGGGGGGGCGCGGCGGAGGGCCAAGGTAAGGCGAGGGAAAGAGGGATAGGGATAGAGGGGGAAAGGGATAGAGAGAGAGAAATAGCGATAGAGAGAGGGAGAGCGAGCAAGAGACGGAGAGGGAGAGAGAAAGAGAGAAGGGACAGGAACGAAAGAGATATTAATATCCATGGGTGCCTTCACATACGAAACGCCGCGCAACTTGCACCAGTCCCGGAGAGCGGCCCACTCCTTCAACAAGAGTTCGTCGGCCGACCCGTGACCCAAGAGTTGTTCGCTGACGAGGTCTAGCAGCGCACTCGGGATCATATCCCTGCATATTCCTAAAAGAAGATTATGGCCATCATCCCAGAAGTTCAACTCCAACCTCCAACCTGGAAGTACACTCATGGGAGATATGTTAGGTGTGGTGAGCATGTACTGCGTATGAGAACGAACTGTTTCAAGATGGGGCGCATCGTCATTGAAATTTGTATATAGAAGATTCATGTCTGCGTGCATATATGGCGCGGTCGCGCCGCACCGGTCGCAAATGCACGTGCTTTTCCACCCCTCTGTAAAGTTGTTGATCTCTTTTCTAGCTTTCCAATCGGCCTTGCTACCAGCAAAGCACGCTATGTATCCACTTCGCCAAAAGGGCGAACAGGCTTGCGACAACGTTCTCCCGCTCCTCTTTCCCCTTGTCCCGTTTCCATCCCGCCCCTTCCTCGTCCTCATCGTTTCTGTCCGTTCTCACTTCCCCCTTCTCTCGTCGCCCTCGCCTTTCTCCTCGTGCTCATCTGCCCCTTCTCTCTGGAGGGGCGGGGGGCAGTGGGTTGAGAGACTGAGGGTTAAACAATTTACATGACATTAAACTGAAAATTAAGAGAGGGGGGGGGGCCGATCGGCGAAGCTGACAAATCCAGCATCGGACAGCGGCTTTCCCAACCAAGTCGTTGGCACCTCTTCGCCGTAGTATCCGACGGAGCGCGTCTGGCCCAACTGCAACAGCTCAAACTCACTAGCTAAATATTTGTACACTTCAGCAAACACGAGTTGCTTGATCTCTCTCGTGGGCATCAATGCATGTCTGATGGCTAGAATTGGGAAGACCGTCTCAAACGACTCGGCGCTCTTGGTGGTGCCGGACGTCCAACGCCACACATAAAACTCTGAATTCTGGTGAACCTCGAACCCGTCCACGAACAAGAAGATCGGCACAAGGCGTTTGAAATCATCTTGCACCAGAGACTGCAGAAACCCATTCACTTGGTATGGCCCCCAATTCAATGCGGCGTTCCAAAACTCTGCCAGCGAATCGGGCCCTGCTGGGCCCAGTATGCTCTCTGAGATTCTCGCCTCACCCTGACTGCATATCCACTTGAACATCCGAGTGGGGGGGAGCACGGCGACCTCGGTGAGCTCCGCTTTTGTTGCGCCAATGTCTCGCAATGTAACCCATAGAGAATCCAATTGGAATGGTGCGGAACCCGCTGGCGCCAGATGGCCATCTTCCTCCTGCACCTCTCCCCGCTCCTGTCCCCTGTCCACCTCTACCCTCCCTTCCTGCTCTGCCCTCCTCTCCCTCCTCCACATCCCACTTGCCCCCCATCCCATCCTCTTCCTCCTCCTCCTCATCCTCCTCCTCCTTCCCCTGCGTAGTCGAGTGACCCCCGCGTCGCATTACCGCGGGCCCCTGGGCCTTCGGACCCCTCGGGGCCCCCAGACACCTGGGCCCGCGGGGCCTCCAGGCCCT